CTGCAATGGCTATAGCAACGGGAACGGCTCCAAAGACATTTGAGCAAACAAACCCCCTACAATACAACAACTGAGGAGGCAACCAGATGAAGAGTTACATCAGCAGAAGGGTGGGCTGGTTCTTCTGGTTTCCACAAATGCTAGAGGTGGCTGTTAAAAATACTCATGAGTCATTGGGCACTTCTTCTGCTTGTGTCCTCCTTTGGAGAGCTTTTAGTCATGGTTGCCACCGAAATTCTGTCAAATGAGCACGGATGGTTCCTCAGCAAGGAGGACACGAGTAAATTCAAGGGAGACGGACTTCAGTAAGATGAATGAAGCTTCTCGGAGTTAGGGGCACACTACAGTTGCCACTTCAATAAGGGGCTGATGAAATTTATTGCCCACTCTGTTCCATGGACTAATTAAAAGACGCCTGCTCCTTGGGAGGAAAGCGATGGCGAACCTAAACAGCATGATAAAAGGTAGAGACATCACCCTGCCAACAAACGTCCGCATGGTCAAAGCAATGGTATTCCCAGTAGTCATGTATGGCTGCGAGAGTTGGACTATAAGGAAGGCCGAGCGCCGAAGAATAGATTCTTTTGAACTATGGTGCTGGAGAAGACTCTTGAGAGTCCCTTGGACTGCAAGAAGATCAAATCAGTCAATCCTCAAAGAAATCAACCCTGACTGTTCCCTGGAAGGCCAGATAATGAAAATGAAGCTCAAATACTTTGGCCACCAAATGAGAAGGGAGCACTCACTGGAGAAGACCCTGATGCTGGGAAAGATTGAAGGTCAAAGAAGACGGGGATGGCAAAGGATGAGATGGTTAGACAGTGTCATAGAGGCAACAAAAATGAAGTTGAGCAAACTTCAGAGGACGGCGGAAGACAGGAAGGTCTGGCGTGATGTGGTCCATGGGGTCGCGAAGAGTCGGACTCGACTGTGCGACTGAACAACAACAAGAAGAAGTTGTTTAGGGTGGTGGGAACCAGGGAGGACTGTGAGGTACTCCAGAGGGATCTGTTGAGGCTGGGTGAGTGGGTGTCAATGTGGCAAATGAAGTTCAACATGGGCAAGTGCAAAGTAATGCACACTGGAGCCCAAAACCCTAATTATAAATATACACTGATGGGGTCCAAACCGGCAGGAACTGACCAAGAGAGTTGTGGCAAATAACTCCCTGAAAATGTTGACTCAGTGCACAACTTCAATAAAGAAGGCCAATGCTTTGCTGGCGATTATTAGGAGGGTACTGAAAACAAATCAGCCAGTATCATAATGCCCCTGTGTGCATTATGGTGCAGCCTAATTTGGAATACCATGTACAGTTCTGGTCACCGCACCTCAAAAAAGATATTATAGCATTGGGAAAAGTGCAGAAAAGGGCAACGGAAATTATTAAGGGGATGGAACACCTTCCCTATAAAGAAGGGTTAAGGCGCTTGGGGCTCTTTAGCTTGGAGAAACAACGACTGAGGGGTGACATGATCGAGGTTTACAAGATTATGCACAGGAGAGACAAGGTAGAGAAAGAAGTACTTTTGTCCCTTGCTCACAATACAAGAACTCGTGGGTATCTCATGTGGGACAGGGAAGGGGGGTCAGAGCTTGCACTATCAGCCAATCTGCAGTCCAGTCCAGACAGGTGAACGTAGAGGCCTCCATGCTGCCAGAAGGCATGCGGTGATGGAGGTAGAGGGAGTAAAGTCCTCCTCTGAGTCTTCGACATCAGGAGTTTCAAAGATATCCAACGCATGTACATCCGGTGCCATACAAGCTGCACTGGCTTCCGGTGGAGTACCAGAATCAGATTCAAGGTTATGGTGTTGACCTTTAAGGCCTCTAATGGTCAGGGACCGATGTACCTCCAGGACCGCCTCTCCTGGTATACCCCCAGAAGAGCGTTATGCTCGAAAGATCAGAACTTATGGGTGGCCCCCAGCTCGAGAGACATCTGGTTGTCCTTGACCAGAGCCCAGGGCTTTCTCTGCCCTGGCTCCAACCTGGTGGGGCTCTCTGCCAAATAACACCCATGCCCTATGGGGCATTTTACAGTTCTGCAGGGCGTGCAAGGCAGAGATGTTCCGCCAGGCATCTGGTCGAGGCCAGCGATGAGTCAGTCTTGGCACTCCCACTTTCACTTTCCCCTCCCCTGCCCATTCCCCATGTGATAGTGGCCCGGCTTGGATTCTAGCGCCATCCATAAGCCATTACTCAGATTATGATGTTTTATTGCCTTATATAAATTTTAATTTGTTTTGTTGATGTTTTGTACGACTGTATTGTACACCGCCCTGAGCCTGGTTCCACGGGGGAGGGGGGCGGCAGATGATAAATTTAATAAATACATAAATAGATAAAGAGAGGACAATCTCAGGAGCTTATCTGCAGTAGCTCAGACATGACGGTACAGAAGGAGCCCTTCTATGAAGCAGCAATCCATCTTGCCAGGGCTCTTTTTGTAGAAAAAGCCCAGCAGGAACCCATTAGCATAATAGGCCACACCCAACAGCAGAAACTCATTAGCCTATTAGGCCACACCCCTGACAGCACAGCTCATTAGCACATTAGGCCGCACCCCCATGTTACCAGAAGTGTGGTCATCCAGCCACACCCACCTTTTTCTTCTTATTCTGTTTACCTTGTTTGCTGTCAAAACCCAGGGCCTTTTTTTGTAGCAGGAACTCCTTTGCATGATAGGCAACACACCCCTAATGTAGCCAATCCTAATGAGTTTCTGCTGTTGGGTGTGGCCTATCATGCTAATGAGTTCCTGCTGGGCGTGGCCAACTTGGGAGCCAGCCGGAACTCCGTTCCTGCGCGTTCCTGCCCCAAAATAGCCCTGCATCTTGCTATCGGGAAGATGGAAGATCATAGAAGTGGCCTACGCCTCACTGTCTGGAACCAGAAGCAAGGTCTTTGTGACGTGGGGAAACATCTCCAGCAACAGAGGGGCAACCATAAGAAGCAGAGAGGAGACTGCAGGAGCCACAGGAAGAATGAGGTGGAGAAATTCCAGACGGAGGCCTAGAGACTTCCTCCAGGAGTAGGCCACACGATGGCGGAAGGTCAAGGTTGCGAGGCAGGGCTAGTGGGCGGCCACACGATAGTCACTGAATCTAATTACTTTAACGGTCTATAACTTGTGTCCATGTGACATATTGACCACTTTCTTTCTCCCACTTCTTTGGTTACACCCCAAACCCCTGGACACCAACAACCCCTCCCTCTGGCCCTTTCCGCACTTGGGCCTCACCCCAGGTTTTCTCTGTGTTCAACTCGTGGCCATTTAACTTGCTGTTATCTCTGTTTGACTGTTGTTTTCTGCCCTAATTTTGTCCCGCTCCAATTAGCTTTCTTGCCCCATGTTATAAATTCTGCATAGCGAACAGGGGTCGTTTCGTAGAAAAAGAGCTAGGGGAACTCATTAACATAACTCATTAGCATATGCCACACCCCCTGACATCACCGGAAGTGTGTCATAAGGCCACACCCCCTGACATCACCGGAAGTGTGTCATAAGGCCACACACCCCGACATCAGCGGAAGTGTGTCATAAGGCCACACACCCCACCCCCAATGGTCCCGGCCGCCGCCGGTGGGCTTGCAGCTCCATTGCCGAGCCCCATGAGGGGCCCGGCGGTGGACCTGCAAGGCCGGCGGGAGTGCGAGGAAGCCCCGCAAAGGCCCTCCCTGGCCCCAGGCAGGCAGGGGTGGGGAGAGGCAGGGAGGAAGCAACTTACCCTCCCTCTTCTCCTGCCTCCTCCTGGCTGAATGAGGGCCGGAAGCGGGGCGGCCGGAAGCAGGGGGCGGGGCTTCATCGTGTGCCCCGCCCCCGTACCTCACCCGGGGGAACTGCGATCCCCCGCAATCCCCCCGAAATGACCTCTGATTGCGAACAGTAAAACCGAGTTGAATGTCCTAGGTATGGGGGGAAAGGGGCGGGGAGGATCGAAACCGAGTTTAAAACTCTATGCCTAAATCTGTACGTGGGCCACTCCGGATCGAGGGAAAGCCCGTGGCAAAACAGGATCCGTACACCCTGGGGCAACGGTGGTCCGAACCCGGGGTGACCACAATGTAATGCAGAATTGACACACACACAAAAACCTGGGATAAAGAGTGAGAGAAGAGCTTGGATTTATACCCCGCCCTTCACTCAAGAGTCTCAGAGCGACTTATAAATTCCTTTCCCTTCCTCTCCCCACAACAGACACCCTGTGAGGTAGGTGGGGCTGAGAGAGCTCTCTTGAGGACTGCCCTTGAGAGAACAGCTCTGACAGAACAATGGCTTGCCCAAGGTCATCCAGCAGGTGCAATTGGAGGAGTGGGGAATCAAACTCGGTTCTCCCAGATTAGAGTCTGCGCACTTAACCACTACACCAAACTGGCTCACTACACCAAACCAGGCTCAAGGGGTGAACTTGAGTGTAGTGCAGAGCAGCTGGCAGGAGATAGCGTTGAACCAGGATTAAAGGTGTAGTGCAGAAAAAGCCTCCCATTCCCTTGAACGGGCTTTGACTTCTCTGCCCCTTGCCTTCTTGACACAGGACTGCTTGAAGCATGGCAGCTGGCGGCACAACCAACAAGTGCCCATTGAAAGAAAAGGACTCTTTCCAGGGCAACACGGCCATTTGAAGTGGCTCTCTCGACTCTTAAAACAAAACAGGCATAAAGCTATTCATAACCCCACCTTCTAGTCGAAGCCTGTCCAAAATTTTGGCAGGTATTTAGCATGGTTATTAAAATCTGCCGCCAGATTGTTCTTCCAAATGGAAGGAATTTGCATGCTCAGTGTTCACCGCTCGCATTGCCAACCTCCATATTTATGACCATGTGCCTCCGACTACCAGATGCGGAGGATTAACAACCAAGGACGGCTATCGCCACCGTGCAGCGCCTGTGAACCTCCCTCAGGCATCTGGCCGGCCATTGTAATTAGGAAGGATGTCGGGCGAGATGGATCATTGGTTTGACTCGGGACAGCAAATCCTGAGGCATGGTGCCCGTACCTTTTGTTGGTAGTGACGGGAATCCGCCAGCCCTTGATCTGGCTCAGTTCGGTATCTGAGATCTCTATTTGCAGAGGAAGTCGTGGAACCCAGACGGTGACTTCCAGCTGGGTGGTAAAATGCTGGTACGTGAAGTTCACAATGGTGTCCACCTTGCTTTTCATTTCTTTCCCGTTCACAAAGATGGCGTCGCAGTTGTCAGAAACCTTGCAGGAAACACAAACAAGCAAATCCTGAGACTGATTGCAACATGAACAACAGCAGCTCCAAGTGGTTTTCCAACTGTGTTCCAAGGAACACCAAGGAACACCAGAACCTTAGCTGAGAGACCCACCTTGGCCCATACCCAAGCAAGATGCTGCTCATCTCCCTAGTCTGAGTACCACAACAATGCAGAGCTTGCATGACTCCTACAATCCTTAATCCACCATCCCTGCTAGCATTCCAGTTGTCATGGGCTTTGGACGTTTGCTCAGCCTTGCTCACTAGTCTATCACAATGGATTTCAAACTGTGTCCCAAGGAACCCTGGAGATCCCCTGAAGTTTAGCAAGGGCCCTTCAATGAGAAGATCAGCAATGGAAGATGAGCTTTCTGTTAAGACCTCTTGTGATCTTTCCTTGCACTATGGAGGGTCATGGCTCAGTGGTAGAGCATCTGCTTGGCAAGCAGGAGGTCCCAGGTTCAATTCCTAGCATCTCCAGTTAAAGGACCAAGCAGTAGACCTCTGTTGTGAGATCCTGCCTGTAAAAGACCTCTGCCTGAGACCTTGGAGAGCTGCTGTCAGTCTGAGTAGACAATACTGACTTTGACGGACCAGTGGTCTGATTCAGTATAAGGCAGCTTCATGTGTTCACGTGTGTTCCTGCAGCCCCAGAAGAACACTGGTTAAGTCTGCTGCAACTGCAATCCATGTGAGCTAATGAAGAGTCACAAGCAGCCAGAACTGAGCCCCGGTGTGAACTGAGAGTCCCCTAGGGCATGGTCCAGAGTCTATCTTCTACAATCTGTTGGGGTTCCACAGCAGATGTGCACTAATGTTAAAAGGCTTCCCTAAAGACAGGAAGTTTGAAAACCACTGATCCAGCATATCAGCACCAGGGCAATGCTAGGAATGTTAATCATGACCCATTGTATTTGTGTGTGTGCCGTTGTTTTTTTTAATTAGCGCCAAAAAGCAGCCGATGAGCCCAAGAGAAACGGTTCTGCATTTCTCCATAGAGATAACCGAAAGAACAACAACCCCTTAACAGCACTAGGAAACCGCTGCCAGTCTTTGTAACTTGGAAAAAAACAACGATGGTTCATAAGAATCAGACTTGATGAGCATCAAAACATTATATTTACAGCTTACTTAGAGAAAGAGACATATGCTAGCGGGGGGAAGGAAGACTTTCTGAGAATCATAAAGCGCAGTGATTTCCTCCTTTTTATACAAGGGCTGTAAAAACCTGGTGCCAGACAATGATCCCTTAATGAGTCATAATGTATTCTCCAAACTCGGAATGTAAAAAGTAATTGTGCAAGCATCTCCGCACCATCACTCCATCCCGACGCGCCCAGAGGAAACAGCTCCAGACACCAGCCCGCATGGTCTTGAGCTGTACTCGCCGAGAGCTATATTTATGGCGGGGAATGTGACCAAATGTCACGAACGTCCCACCGGCTCAATTCAGGAGTTCGACATTCTCTTATGGCTTCTCCAGGATGCAGCCGCCAACCATTCCCCTTTCTGACCACGCTACCAAAGATAGAGACTAACGCTGTCATGGAAATGGATGCCTCTTTTTGCTTCATTTGCACAAATAATCTAAATGCAGCCTAAAAAAACCACCAGTTTGGAAACAAAAGAGATGCGAATGAAATAAATATATTTATATTTATTTATTTATTGTTTTCCTGCCCACCTAGCAGTTCGAAAGCAAGAAATTGCAAGTAGATAAATAGGTACCACTTCGGTGGGAAGGTAACAGCGTCCCATGTGCCTTGGTGTTTAGTCATGCCGGCCACATGACCTCGGAAACATCTTCGGACAGCGCTGGCTCTTCGGCTTTGAAACGGAGATGAGCACCGCAACCCTAAAGTCGGATTCGACTGGCTTTCGAGCAAGGGAACCTTTACCTTTACTTATTTATTGTTTCAACTTTTACCCTGCCCTCCCTGCCGAAGCAGGCTCAGGGCGGCTGTAAATAAAGAGACTCCTGATGGCAACAGATATGGGGGGAAAGGTATATATCTGATTTTAAAAAAAGAGAGAGAGAGAGAGAGAAAAGAAGAAGAGATTGGATTTATACCCCACCCTTCACTACCCAAAGAAGTCTCAGAGTGGCTTGCAAACTCCGTTCCCTCCCCCACAGCAGACGCCCTGTGAGGTAGGTGGGGCTGAGAGAGCTCTGAGAGAAACTGCTCTTTTTCAAGAACAGTTCTGACAGAACTATGGCTTGCCCAGGGTCATCCAGCCAGGTGCAAGTGGAGGAGTGGGGAATCAAACCCCGTTCTCCCAGATTAGAGTCCGTGCACTTAACCACTGCACCAAACTGGCTCAAGGTTGCTATTGTCTACTCTGATTGGCAGCAGCTCCCCAGGGTCTCAGGTGCGAGTCTCGCACATCAGCTCCTACTTAATCCTTTTGTTTGCTTGTTTGCTGCCAACCCTATGGCAACCTTATAAGGTTTTCAAGGCCAGAGATATTCAGAGGTGATTTAGCCCACTGCCTGTCTCTGTGCAGCGACCCTGGACGTCCGGAGTGGTCCCCCATTCAGATACCAACCAGGGCTGACCCTGCTTAGCTTCTGAGGTCTGACAAGAGAGATTGGGCTAGCCTGGGCCACCCTGGTCAGGGCCAACACACATTAGGAGGAGGAGGAGGTTGGATTTATACCACACACCCTTCAGTACCCGAAGGAGTCTCAGAGCGGCTGACAATCTCCTTCCCCTTCCCCTCCCCACAACAGACACCCTGGGAGGTAGGTGGGGCTGAGAGAGCTGTCTCTCGGGAACTGCCCATGAGAGAATAGCTCCGAGAGAACTGGTGACTGACCCACGGTCACACCAGCAGCTGCATGTGGAGGAGTGGGGAATCAAACCCGGTTCTCCCAGATTAGAGTCCGCGTTCCTAACCACTACACCAAACTGGCTCTCTCCTATCCCTTCTCCCTTTATCCCCATATATAGATCTTCCTTTCTTGACAGAAATTTGGCTTGTTTTGTCAATTTGCAGTTCTTGACGTTCCTTCTTGAGGTTCCTTCTTAGAAAACAAATCAGGCCAGGCAAGCTGGGGGGATTTCCCACCCCAGCCCTCAGTCGCATCAGCATTCCCAAGTGGCAAAGCCCAGTGCCAAAAGTCACCCGATAACATCAGAATCTCTTTTCCATTAGGGACGACTTGGACTTTCTCCTCCTCCATGTTTTGACCCCAAATCCCCCCTTTCTATCGTGGCTGTGTGCGAACTGAGCCCGTGACTCTTTAATGACATCTTCCGTTCCTAAACCCTGAATTTTTCTTCCTCAGCATTCTTACAGTGTCAGAGCAAGACGATCTGTACATGATGCATATATTCCATCCCTAGGTGCACCAGTGGGAGAAAAACTGGGGAGGCTGAGGTGGATTCAGACGTTACTTTGACGGCTGTGAATTTTTTTCCCCATATGTTACAGCAAGTGGAAAATGATGATGAAGAAGAAAAGATTGGATTTACACCCTGCCCTTCACGCGGAGTCTCAGAGCAGCTTACAAACTCCTTTCCCTCCCCCTCCCCGCAACAGACACCCTGTGAGGTAGGTGAGGCTGAGAGAGCTCTGAGAGAAAATGCTCTTTCAAGGACAGCTCTTGCCAGAACTACGGCTTGCCCAAGGTCATCCAGCAGCTGCAAGTGGAGGCATGGGGGAATCAAACCCGGTTCTCCCAGATCAGAGTTCGTACACTTAACCACTACACCAAACTGGCTCGGTACTTTAAAAATCTGAGGTGAGGATAATGTTTCAGCCCAGTTAATGATTCTAATGTGGCACTACTCAAAACCTATACGTTGTTAGTATTTTTAAGTACTATAAGCATATTACACGTATAAATACCATACAAAATAGGTATAAACACACAATACGCACGTGCGATAAATGCCTCTCCGAAATCGGCAACAGAAAACAGAGATAGACAAAAATATAAATAGGCATAAAAACAGAAACACAGAGCTGGAAGGAACCTCAAGGGTCATCTAGTCCTACCCTCTGCACAACGCAGGAAATTCACAGCTACCTCCTCCCCCTGCCCCCGTTCCCCCAGTGACCCCTGCTCTATGCCCAGAGGAAGGCCAAAAACCTCCAGGATATCTGGGCCAATCAGGCCTGGAGGAGAATTCCTTCCTGACCCCAAAGTGGCGATCAGCATTACTCTGGGCACAGAAGAAAAAGCCACAAGGGGCAGGGACTGGCTCCTCTCTCCCTGCCCTCCCTCTCAAGATGTGCCGAAGTTTACAGATTCAGCACTGCTGCCAGATGGCCACTGAACTTCTGCTTAAAAACCTCCAAAGACGGAGGTTCACATTCCGTACCAAATGTCTCTCTGTATAAAGTGTCATCACGTGGGTGCCAACCTATGGCGATCCCAACAAGGGGTTTTCAAGGCGAGTGATTAGGCAGTGCCTTTGCCTTCCTCTGCAGAGCCTTCCTTGGTGGTCTCCCTTCCAAATACCGACCCTGCTTAGCTTCCGAGATCTGATGAGATCTTGGCTAGACCTGTGCTGCCTTCCCTCTCCCATACCAAAGACCAGAGAGAAAAGTATTATGAGCCTTCTCCTCTTAGTTAAAAGCCTTCTCCCTTTCCATCTGGTGGATATGCAACCAGCCATCTTCTGGGCTCAGAGAGTATAATTTGGTATCTGCTATCTTGTATACAAAGGAGATATCACAGGAGTTGGTCTGCCGAACATTAGGAAAGTAAAAGATGCTTTGTATGATTCTACAATATTGTAATTGGTAAGCACAACTTTTATTTGTGGATTTACTGTTTTATATTTACTATTTTGTCAACCGTTTCTTTGCTATAGGGCGGTTTTGGTGTTCCACTTTTGAGGAAGCAATGCAATATGGCAACTGGCAGGGCCGTCTAGTGGATACACAAGTGACGAGACGAGTTTTGCAAAGAGGAATTATAAATACTGATGTTCGGACTCATCACTGTTTGAGAAATTTGACTTCGGCTATTTCT